GTGTTGGTGCTGTGTATGTCTGTGGGTGCTGTGTATGTCTGTGTGTGCTGTATGTGTGTGGGTGATTGTGGGGGAGGAGGTGGGGGTACATTACTTGATATCCCCCCTCCCTTCTTACCTTTTGCCTGGGGGGGGATCCTTGTTGCTGCTGCATCCATCCCTGGTGGTCCAGTGGAGAGTGAGGCTGTGGGGCTAGAGTTCACTCTCGCGAGATTTGAGCGTTGCCATGGCAACGCTCATATCTCGCGAGAGGAACCTGGCGGAGCTACTGGCAAGAGCTCCGCCGGTCCTCTCCTGCCTCCCTCCCTGGATGTGGGTCGGTGGGGAGGGAGGCTGAGAGCAGAGCCAGTGCTCGGATAGCTCCAGCTCTGCATGAGCCGACAGGGGAGATCCTGAGATCTCCCCTGCCAGTCTCAATATACATAGGCGTGCCGCGGGGATTAGGGTGTGCCCAGGCACACCCGGCACACCCCGTGCGCACGCCTATGGTACAAGTTGTGATCCCAAAAAAATGTTAACAAACCACAGAATTTTACTATTTATTATTATTATTATTTACTATTTTACTATTTATTTGTAACTGTAATTTATTTTATTTGTAACTTACCGTATATACTCGAGTATAAGTCAACCCGAATATAAGTTGAAACCCCTAATTTTACCCCAAAAAACTGGGAAAACTTATTGACTCGAGTATAAGACTAGGGTGGAAAATGCAGCAGCTACTGGTAAATTTCTAAATAAAATTAGATCCCCAAAAATTATATTAACTGACAATTTATTTACAGTGTGTGTATATAATGAATGCAGTGTGTGTGTGTATGAATGCAGTGTGTGTGTGTGTGTGTGTGATGCAGAGCCTTGGTGGGGGGTGGGCATTTTTATAATTTTTTTAAAATTATTATTATTATAAATTTTTGTTATATTATTAATATTTTTATTTTATTATTATTTTACTTTTTTTTTTTCGTCCCCCCTCCCTGCTTGTTAGCTGGCCAGGGAGGGGGGCTCTCATTCCCTGGTGGTCCAATGGATGGGCTGTGTAGGAGGAGGGCTGGCAGAGAGCTGTAACTTACCTTTCCTGTAGCTCCTGTCAGCTCCCTTCTCCTGTGTTTCTGATCAGCTCCACTGTAAGACTTGCGGTGTGACTGCCGCACGGAGCGTTGCCACGTTTTAGCGCAGCTCTCGCGAGATTTACAGTGGAGCTGACCAGAACGCAAGAGAAGGGAGCTGACAGGAGCTGCAGGAAAGGTAAGTTACAGCTCTCTGCCAGCCCCCAACTATATGTCTGTTCAACAATAATTTACCTCTTTCATATTAAATGCACCCACACTTATTATATATCATTTTATTCAGGGGAAACAGGGCTTTTATTTAACATCAAATATTTAGGTATGGAACATAATTTAATATAAGTAAAATATAAAAAAATTAGAGAAAATAAGATTTTTTAAAAATGTTCTTAGTTCTACGTGACATTTTAACTGTGAATGTCATAATATTGTTTACTTTTACTGCAATAAAATACACATATTACACATATACGTATTCAGCGATGTCTCACGTGTAAAACAGTGCCCCCTATGTATAGGTTTTATGGTGTTTTGGGAAGTTACAGAGTCAAATATAGCATGTTATACTTTTCATTTTTTTCACATTTAAATTTGCCAGATTGGTTACGTTGCCTTTGAGACTGTATGGTAGCCCAGGAATGAGAATTACCCCCATGATGGCATACCATTTGTAATAGTAGACAACCCAAGGTATTGCAAATGGGGTATGTCCAGTCTTTTTTAGTAGCCACTTGGCCACAAACACTAGCCAAAGTTAACGTTAATATTTGTTTGTGTGTGAAAAATGCAAAAAACTAATTTGAACGCCAGTTTTGGCCAGTGTTTGTGACTAAGTGGCTACTAGAAAAGACTGAACATACCCCATTTGCAATACCCTGGGTTGTCTACTTTTGCAAATGGTATGCCATCATGGGGGTAATTCTTATTTCTGGGCTACCATATGGTCTCAAAGGCAACGTAACAAATCTGGCGAATTTTAATGTGAAAAAACTGAAAAGCAAGCCTTATATTTGACTCTGTAACTTTTGAAAACACCATAAAACCTGTACATGAGGGGTACTGTTATACTCAGGAGACTTTGCTGAACACAAATATTTGTGTTTCAAAACAGTAAAAAGTATTACAGCAATAATATTGTCAGTGTAAGTGCTGTTTGTGTGTGAAAAATGCAAAAAACTTCACTTTCACTGACGATATCATCGTTGTAATACATTTTACGGTTTTGAAACACAAATATTTATGTTCAGCGATGTATCCTGAGTAAAACAATACCTCCCATGTACTGGTTTTATGGTGTCTTGGAAAGTTATAGGGTTAAATAAAGTGCTAGCAAATTAAATTCCTTATACTTTCGGCCTGGGTTGTCAGGCAGGTCCCGCAAATTGTAATTAATAAAGGACCTAATTATGTAAAATTATTACATAAATATATATGTAAAATTATTATATATATATATATATATAAAAAGATATGGAAGGGCTGCGCCAATAGATGGTCTAGGATACTTGATAGAGTTCCTCTGTGGATGCATCTAGTGTAGACCGTTCCGTATATGTAAATACAAGAGAGGTAGATGCGACTAATGGTATAGTATGAAAGTTCAGGGTGTGATAGGTAACAAAAAGTAGAGAACTCACATTCAAGAGAGCTATGGCCAGCTCTGGTGTGGATTGCGTACAGCGGTATAATCCCCGCTTATGGGATATGTAGGGAGGGGTCTCCGTCAGCACCGTCTGGTAGTCCAGAGCTCGAAAAAGAAAGACAGAAAGCAACAATAGTGCTCTCAATTTTGATTTGGTTCAATGTGCAGATAAGAAGAGGTAAAAAACTCACATTTGAGGGAGCTATGGCCAGCTCTGGTGTGGATAGCGTACAGCGGTATAATCCCCACTTATTGGATATGTAGCGGCGATACGTCCGTCAACACCGTCTGGTGATCCAAGGCTCCAATATAGAAGAATAAAAAGCAGCAATAGTGCTCTCAATTGTGATAGGTTAAGAGAGTAGTAGAGGAAATAAAATAATACTCACAAAGATAGAGCAGAGGTACTGCTCTATGGATAGGCGCTGGTGGTATGATCCCCACCTAGGATTTCTTGGAGTACTGGAACTTTAAAATTGCCAGTGGAAGTAAAAGTAACCAGGAAAGGTTAAAATGCCAGGGATAGGTAAAAAAAGTTGTTTAAAGTGCATAGAGAGTGCAATAAAAAGAGGATTGGTACAATAAAGTAGCCAAAAAACTTTTATTGATCTAAAATACACAGTAAAATACAGAATTAATAACCATAAACGCGTTTCACCATAAGTGGCTTCTTCAGAATGGGATAACAGTAGTAACCTGGCAGGGGTTGTTTAACTAGGGCTATGCTAATTTGAAAATTGCGCCAAAAGTGTAATTGGCCAATCAGAGACAATTTTTAAAATCACTTTTCAAAATTAGGATTCAAGAGTATGGGAGTGATGTTATAAAGGTGATGAGTCCATTTAAATTATTTAAATGTGAAAACGAGGGTGAGAAAGTTGGTTTTTAATATATATATATATTTTTAAATTATTTTTATTTATATATAGGTATACATATAGTGATATATACGTATATACTTATGTATATAGATATATATATTATTTCGTTCTACGTGTATTTTGATTATCAATATATATAAATATCAAAATACAGTTAGAACGAAATTACACATATATACATATATTTTAATTATTTATTTTTATTTTTTTACATATTTACATATTTTATTTTTTATTATATATAAATATATATAATTATAATTATATATATATTTAAGCAATATCCTTCTACGTGTATTTTGATATTAATATATATATATATAATTATATATATATTAATATTAAAATACACTTAGACAGTGTATGTGTAAGTGTGTGTGTGTGTGCATATATATATATACTTAGATCATATATATAATATATATGATCTAAGTATATTTTATTTGTAACTGTAATTTATTTTATTTGTAACTTACCGTATATACTCGAGTATAAGTCAACCCGAATATAAGTTGAGACCCCTAATTTTACCCCACAAAACTGGGAAAACTTATTGACTCGAGTATAAGACTAGGGTGGAAAATGCAGCAGCTACTGGTAAATTTCTAAATAAAATTAGATCCCCAAAAATTATATTAACTGACAATTTATTTACAGTGTGTGTATATAATGAATGCAGTGTGTGTGTGTATGAATGCAGTGTGTGTGTGTGTGTGTGTGTGTGATGCAGAGCCTTGGTGGGGGGTGGGCATTTTTATAATTTTTTTAAAATTATTATTATTATATATTTTTTTTATATTATTAATATTTTTATTTTATTATTATTTTACATTTTTTTTTTTCATCCCCCCTCCCTGCTTGTTAGCTGGCCAGGGAGGGGGGCTCTCATTCCCTGGTGGTCCAATGGATGGGCTGTGTAGGAGGAGGGCTGGCAGAGAGCTGTAACTTACCTTTCCTGTAGCTCCTGTCAGCTCCCTTCTCCTGCGTTTCTGATCAGCTCCACTGTAAGACTTGCGGTGTGACTGCCGCACGGAGCGTTGCCACGTTTTAGCGCAGCTCTCGCGAGATTTACAGTGGAGCTGACCAGAACGCAGGAGAAGGGAGCTGACAGGAGCTGCAGGAAAGGTAAGTTACAGCTCTCTGCCAGCCCCCAACAGGACCGCCAGGCTTGTAATGAGCCCGGCGGTCCTGGTCCATATTATGGCAATGTAAGTTGCCATAATACAGACATTGACTTAAGTATAAGTCTGTCACAGTGACTGGCTGTCACTGTGATCACTTCCTGCAGATCGCGGTAATTGGCCACAGGGAGAGTGCCTGGGTGGCCAGGCATGCCCCCCACCGCGATCTGCAGGGGGATCCTGCCTGTAGTTACATGTGTCAGCCAATAGGCTGACACATAGTAACTCTGATCGCAGTGACAAGCTGTCACTGCGATCAGATCGCAGTGAGAGGCTGTCTCTGCGATCAGATCGCAGTGACAGCCTGTCACTGCGATCAGAAGCTGCAGACCACGGTCCCCGGGCACAGGGGGGCTGCCTGGGTGGCCAGGAATGCCCCCCAACTGCGATCTGCAGCGGCCATGTGTCACCAGCCACGTGGGAGGCAAGACGTTTAGAGCCGCCCAAATAGGGACTGCATAGAACGCCCTTCGGTCTTAAGGGGTTAAAGAGAACAGTGCCTTTAGTTTGGAGGATTTGTACTGAATTTACCAGATTTGTGGTTCAGGGTTTACAAGGAGAGTGCAATTAATATAATGTAAAGGTTAGTAAAGTCCAGGCAGGTTAGATCCAAAGCATATAAGGAATAATAGAAAACAAAGTCCAGTTTGAATTAAAGCAGGATGTTTGGATTGGAATCAGGATGGATCAAGGAAATCAGAGTTGAGCAGGTAATTCAGGAATCAGTTTGACCCATGAATGAGGGGTCGAGGCACTCAGTACCCCTGCTGCTGATCTGGCCCTCCCGGACCATGTGATCGCGAGGTCCTTGCACTGATGATTTCTGCAAATAGAAGACAAAATGGGGACAAAAGAAGCACTCCTAGTGCAATAAAGTTATTAAAATCATATATAACTTAGAGCCCTCTGTAGGAAAAAAACTCACAAGTTAAGAGGGGTAATAGCCCCACTCATAGCTATAACGCCCAGAGAGGATAAGTTCCTAGACTTCGTGGGATCCAATAGGTCAGGTGACCTGGGTAGTAGGTAATAAAGACTTTATTGATATTAAAAAGCAAAAAAACTTTTAGCAGCAAACAAATGTATAGTCCACCGTCTGCTCACCAACCCATGTGGAGTGAAGTGCAGTGAAACAGTAACCGCCGTCTTCATCCTTCTGGTTGTAGCTGTTCTTGCCGGTGTGCAAGTTGTAGACACTTCCGTGTTCCTGGTCCCGTGGTCCCGTGATTACGTTTAGCCCCTCCTCCTGGGGCTTTCTCAAACGAGCAGTATCTCCTCCCACTGGAGATCGTCTTTTAAAGGACCACTGTAGGCACCCAGACCACTTCAGCTCATTGAAGTGGTCTGGGTGCCAGGTCCATCTAGGGTTAACCCTGCAGCTGTAAACATAGCAGTTTCAGAGAAACTGCTTAGTTTACAATAGGGTTAATGCAGCTTCTAGTGGCTGTCTCATTGACAGCCGCTATAGGCGCTTCCGCGCTTCTCACTGTGATTTTCACAGTAAGAAGACGCTTGCGTCCATAGGAAAGCATTGAGAAATGCTTTCCTATGGACTGATTGTATGCGTGCGCAGCTCTTGCCGCGCATGCGCATTCGGCGTCGAGGGAGCCCAAGGCTGGAGAAAGGTAAGCGTTTAACCCCTTCCTCCCCCTAGAACCTGGCGGGAGGTGGGCCATGAGGGTGGAGGGGACCTATTAACACTATTGTGCCAGGAAAACGAGTTTGTTTTCCTGGCAATATAGTGGTCCTTTAAACGTAAGTTATTTAGCCGTGATCCAATCGGCTTAAAAGCCTCATTTATATAGAGGTAGTGTTCATAGTTGTTCTGATCCCTAGAGATTATATATTCACAATCCTTACTAAGGCGATTTTATGAAGCAATGTATACATGAGGAGAGAAAAATGTATTTGAAATAACCACTACGTGTATGTAATAGTGCACTACATACCTTCAAAACATTCATGTATGAATATTTCCAAAAATAATGCTATATATTAATTGCTACACAAAGATTATGTATTTTCTCCTCTAGAAAAGATAGACACCTAAATGGCATTTCGGAAAAAAGGAGGAAGATCGCCTAACTCAAAATTTTAAAATACAATTATAATAAACCATAAGTGGATAAAACATATTCAAGTCTAATACATAATAATATAGACTGTAAATATACAAGTACACAGCAACATAAGAGATATAGGGATATTAATAAAAAAGATATCAGAGATAAAAACATAAAAACAGTAATTAAGGTCCGCAGTTATGTAAAAAAATAAAAGAGACATATACCAGTATCGGATTCTATAATTTGGGATTTAATTTGGGACTTAACCTGCGTTATTAGAGATGAATTGGAGGTGTCCTAAAAAAGTAAAAAATGAATAAAAAAATCAAAAATATTAATAACTATATATATATAAATAGAATAAAAAAGAGTAATAAAAAATTATATAATTCAGAGTCTTTATTCAGACCGGATGGGATTAGGGTATCTAGTTGGAAAATCCATCGCATCTCTTCCAGTCCGATCTTACGGATAAAATCACCTCCTCTCCAGTCCCTACCTACTCACTTAATCCCAATAAATTCCAGGCCACTAAGGTCCTGTTTATGTACCTTTTTAAAATGTTCGGAAAAAAATGTTCCAACCCTTTTTTAATGTTATATAGGAACACTCCAGACCCCTAAAGCGCTTTAAATTGCTGAAAAGCTTTATGTGTCCTTTTTTTTTTTTTCTTCTAAAGTACAGATTTTAATAGAAAATTGTACTTTTATAAATTAACCTGGTCACACCCCTCTGGCTTTCAAGCAAATAGGTCCTCTTACTTCCTGGTTTGGTTAGCTCAGTGGAGCTAACCAAAGCTAGCTCAGAGCAACTGCCTCGCAAAGACTTCTCATTGAGCTACACTGGCAAGTCTGTTATTGGACAGTCATAGAAAGTCTGGGCGGTGTTAGAAGGGTAGGACAAGCTGTTTTTAGATATAACCCCAATTAAAAAGTGCACACTTGGGGGGGGCAGAGCCAGGCAGCCATGCTAGCAGGCTGCAAGTCACTATGGCTCCTGAGGAAGTCAACTAATAATGGGTAAATACAAATACAAAGAAACTAGTCCTGTGCTCAAACTCCCATTACTCATGGGCAGCAGCAATGACTATAGTACACATCAGCCAAAATACATTACCCGCGCTCTCTCCACATCCCTATATATTTTTAAACAAATGGAGGCTACTGAGAGCCACAACACCGCTTACCCCCCCACCAGGCAAACAAGCATATTTGTGATGCTCCTGGGCGACTTAATGCCGACAGCTAATGGCTACCATGCGGCCCCAACAAAATGGCCGACAGCAGCGCACCTAACTTCAGGTCGCTAGAGAAGGACCCCGCTGAAGCAGAGTTCCCACAAAATACAGCTGTCCTCCCCATACGACGACTCCATTACACCGCTACCCACACCTGGTAACTGTGGCCTGCAAAGCACCACACCCGTACTCACCTACCGACCGGGTAATAGGATCACGGCGATCCACGGACACTTCGCCCTGCAGCGGGTCCTAGGAACTCAATGGACACTGGGGTGCCCTGCGAGGATTATTTTCATGCCGGAGAATAGGATGCCGACTAACAACAATCCTGATGCCAAAACCAACGGCTACCTCAGCTTCTCATGACGGAAGGCATCTAAGGCACACACCGCAGGACCAACACCGACAGCCTTAACAGAAGACACCCTGGCTGTGGTTACCATTAAATGGACATATCTGCTACTAATGTCACAGTTGAGGTTACGGTACATGGCGGTTTTAATACCCTGATTACTGCAGACAATAACCCAGTATGCCACAACCTGCTTGGTGGTACATTACCTACTTAAGTAACTATCTTAGCTAAGCTATTGTTTCATAAAAGCATATGTATACACATCTGTAATTTATCTAGTTAAATAATCACACACTCAGTCTCTGGTCCCAAGCAGATTCCTAGTATAAAGCTTTTAAAATGAGTGGCGATCGTACTTGAAATTAGCAACATACTTCAACGTGTTTTACAGTATAATGTTTTGTATGTACTGGAGGTTACCACGAAACTCAGTTTAAAACTGATTAGTATCTGATGCAGTATTAACACATTATCTGTCAGTCGCATACCTATAGCCCCTTCAGCATACTAATACCTATTCTTAAAACCACCCAGGTAATCAGTGTGCATACCCTGCTTTGCTAACGCTTAAGAGCTCTCCCCACCGAGATACCTATTGAACGTGCTAATTAGATTTTTAAATGTGCAGTGATGCAGACATATGTTAAATTGTTCAAGTTATGTTCTCTCATGTTACCACATGCAATGTCTATGTATATCTGTGAAACTTGCAATGCACAACAAAAATAAATAAAAAAATTTTTAAAAGTGCACACTTAAATGCATGCAAGCTTTCATTTGGGGTTTATCTACTAAGCAATGTTTTTATTTATTTATTTTGTATTTGGGCAGAGAGAGTGTCCCTTTAAGCAAGTTGTGTTTAGCATTTTCCAATTCTCCTCCCAGTGTCAGTAATAAAGTTTAATAAAGCAATTAGCAGTAACACTTGGATGCAGCAAAGTATGTTTTTCAAGAAGCAGGCTGTAAGGGAGATTGGTTTGTCAACAGAACAAATAGATGACGAGCCAGAGCTAATGCCATCCACTTCTGCAGCATCTTCAGCTGAAGGCAGCAGCGCTTCGTGGCAGACTCGGCAGCAAAACTGTCAGCCTAGGAAAGTATTATCTGTCCCACTATCATATCTCTGGCTGCCGCACGGCATTCTCAGGGAGAAGTCTTGGTTCTGTAAGATACAATGCTGCATACTGACGATAAGGAAAGTTGTGCAATGAAAAGGAAAGTTGGGTGGCAGCCTCGAATGCGACAGCGAGGGTGATGCACATATATGGCAATTCTGCATCTTGGCCATAGACTCTGCCGGATTAGAACAACAGATTGTGAAGCACGCAGGAAGGACAAACTATAAATTGGACCTGTTCTTCCAAGCCCTGCAGGTTGTCTTTACAAGGACTACTGTATCTCCAACAAGAAGCACAGTCAAGTCCATCTGTGCCTTTATCCACTTCCATTCAGGGAACTGGACCGACTATACATTTCACACACCCATAACTTTCTAAATGAGGTAGGAGTACATCTTGAACTATCCCCTAGTTCAGGCGTAGGCAACCTTCTGCACTCCAGAGGTTTTGGACTACACCTCCCATGATGCATTACCAGCATTATGGGTGTAAGAGCACTATGGGGGATGTAGTCCACAACATCTGGAGTGCCGAAGGTTGCCTATCCC